TGCTCTTAGACTGAAATAATAAGAATATTTGTTAAGTGATGGTTTGGCAAACTAATTAATGGTCATGAGAAACTTCAGGATTTAGGCTTTGAAGGAAGGGTCATGTGGAAGTATACAAACATTTAGGAGAGGATGGAAATGCATAAATGGGGTATCTGCTAGTTGTAGACACTAAGGAACAAGACCTGGATCTAGGGAATAGATAGGAAAGAGTGAGCCCAAAAGGTGTTTTTGTTGCCCTTGTAAGTAAGAGAATCTGCTCAGCTAAAGGAAAAGGGGACAAGTCATTGGAAATTAACATTACACACTGATCAAGAAGTGAATCACCAGAGGAAAGGGTTTCTTCCTGACTCAAGAAAGGTTACAGGCTGGACCAAAGACTGAAGAATTAACACTGGAGGGACAATAGAACTTATTCCTAGGAGACACACTGTAGCATCTCAAATAGAGGAAGTCAAGCTCACTTATCACTTCTTTTTAGACTTTATTTTTTCAGGCTGAACACCTCCTGTTTCCTTAAATTGACCTAAATTTGAACCTCCCAGGATGCTGGTGAATCCCTTCTGATGTATCCTAAGTGTGTCATCCCCACGTTTAGTAGTCTGAGCTTGAAAAGGAAGATAATATCCAAATGTGAAGTGATGGGCACACAATAGAGCATAGCCATTGCCTCTCTTGTTCTAGAGTTGAAAATTTCTAGAGTTTAAAATCTCATTAGCCCTGTGTTTTGCAAGGCAAACCAGACCTCAGATTTCTTTCCTTGTTTCTTTCACTTATTTTGCTGATGTGCAGTGCATATGTTTTCTCTGCAATTTTCTCTCTGCTACTGTAAATGAAGCAATTCTGCTTTAGCTATGGGGAGGCATCTGTGCTCTATCTTGTCCATCATTAATAAACCCCCAAGCTCTGTTCTCATTCCCAAGCTACTTAATGTCTGGTAATGATTTCCAATTCAGAACACACACAGCTGGATATTCAAACCCCAGGTTAAAGTGTATTTTCTGAGACATCACCTGTTTTGAGCTTGAAAGTAAGACTAGATGTGCTATGAAAGTCTTCAAAAAAGAGGAATATGGGGGAAATGGAAAAGTTCACTCCTTTGACCTAACTGCTATCAAACCATGGGGAGAAAAAAAAAAAGATTTCTCTTGATCTCTGAAATTCAACTTGTAGACATTTCTGCACCCGAGGCAGGTACCATAATAGTTGTTATGCTATTAAAACTTCTGCACAGCCATTTTTTTTGAAGGGTAGGAAAATTGTTTAGGATTGATTGGATTGCTGCTAATGTAAACATCTCTGAATTGTAATATTTTTTTACATGCCCAAGTAACCTAAGAACCTCAAATTAAAGAACAAAGCAGATTGACTAGGCACAACCAGATTTTTTTCAAAGCAAAATTGAGTACAATAATAACCACTTTCAGAAATTGTGAAAATGTCACTGCAAGAAAATTAGTTCTAATGTAAGCCTAGCTGTGGAATTTTATTGAAAAGAATCTCATCTGAGCATGGAGCATTTAAATAATGAATTTATGAGGAGAAACACAGGGAAATCACAGAGAGCCATCGCTTATAATAAGAAAAAACAAGTACACTTTAATGATTATAGATTTGAGTCTAGAATGTTTTTCTTTCATTGTCTCTTTGTCACTGGAAGCCTGTCTGATGATTTAAGTAAGTATCATGGGTGAACGTCTTTGTTTGCTCAGCAGAGAACAACAGTTGCAATATGTAAATAGGGTGCCTCTTCCCTTTGGATGCCTTGGGATATGTATAATAGATTAAGTTGGCTTTGTGCAGAGCAAACAGGTCTGTATTACCAAGAATATGAATGATACTGGTTTCCAAAATTGCTAACATCTGGCTTTCCATAAATCTGTTAAATTGCATGGAAGCAGAATTAGATATCTGTGTCATAAGTAAAGCAATTACATGGAACTCTGTGGGCAATATGGTCCTATGCTCAACTGTGAAATCCTTTCATTCTAGAGCAGCAAAAGTAAATCCAGGTTTTGCACCCTAATTTTTGTTGGGTACACTAGGCTTGTTCATCTTTATTTTCAGGTTTCTTAGTTTGTGAGAGAAAAACACTGCCGATATGTTGACAACTTTGTAAATGCAAAGTAAGCAAATGTTAGAAAAGCATACTATAGTTGGGCATTAATTGCCACTTTAGAGATTATTTTAGAGGAGATCATAAACTAATAAACTTATAGCCACTGGTTATGGATCTGTTGAAATTACTTTTCCAGACAATTTTTGATGTGATATGTTAATGGGTCTTCGTTTGCCCTTGTCCACAAGCATTTGACAGGAAACTAGGGTAGGGAGGGCGGAGGGAAGGTGGCCTTAGGATTTCAGTATGATTACTATTCTGCTGTATTTATTGTACATTGATCCAGACCCCTGGGCTTTCCCAGATGAAACTCAACAATAAGATTTGTTCCCAGAAGGGGGAAGGTCATGGTTATGCCTTATGCCTTATTGGACACATTAGAGACCAAATTTTGGCAAAGCAGGCTTTTACTAATATTTGTCTATAAATGTCCTGTACTTAGTAAGTTAAATAACTGCAATGCACATCCACAGTGTATTCTGTGGTACTTGGCCCTGAGAAGAGAAAAAGGAAAAAGATTTCATCCCTGCCCTCAGTGAGCTCACTGTCTATCTGTGGAGATGGGTATGTTGAATACGTACCTCCTGAGAGGTGAGTGCAAGGGCAGCATTGTGTGTAAAGTACAGAAAAAGTGAAAACTCAATAGTGACTGTCCTGCAGAATGCAGATGATGATGCTTAAGCTGGATTTTGTGGACTGCATTCTGTGAATAACACAGAAAAGAGGAGGGCTTAGCTCATCGATAATTTATACCACAGCCCATTCTGTACAGACTAAGAAAATCCAAGGCACAGACCAAGTAAACGACATGGACTGTCTGTGGACCACCTATTGTTTTGAACAGAAAGGGGAAGAGACAGAGGGTATCAACGTAAGTGTTATGCTGGGGCTGGTGGTATGCCAGGCATGTGAACCTTCTGAGAGATGGGAAGCTGAGGAGTGACTTGGACAGATTTGCCTTTGAGGATACCACTCTGTTGTAGAAGGTATTTAGAGTAATGATTCTCATCTAGCTGTACAGAGCCCAGATGTCTGGATCCTACTTTATACTAATTAAATCACTGTCTGGTGGTGGTGAGCCTGAGCACCAGCACTTTTTAAAGGTGCCGCTAATGTTTCTATTGGGCCCACAATTGGATATCACTGGATTAGAGTAAGAAGTGGCTGGATTCAGGGAGACCAGAGAGGGGGCTAATTCAATAGTCCCAGAGATTAAGTATGAAGAATTCAAAGAAATCTGAATTTTATTTTTTATGACTACATATGTGATGAGTCATCTGTCAGTTTACTCTTTATGTGTATCTTCTAGACATACAAACTAAATTATAAATGTGATGAGAGAAGTATAAGACCAAATATTTTCATTGTTCCTTTCAGCAATAACTGGGGAGTGAGAATAATACAAAAATACCATTTTAGTATTATTCTAAACAGTAAGCCATATCCCATCAAGTACTGATATTTGGTAGTTGGTATCATGCCTTTGAGCATTTCATTGCTTGGGCCAGTTTAGGGGGGAAATGCCACTTAGTTTTTCTTCAAAGTAGTTTGTAATCCTTAACCCAATGCCTACTACCCTACACATATTTAACATGAAATTTAGGATGAAGAATAATTTACTCTTATTTTAACTGACAATAGGAGTAAAGCCTATCAATCATTGGCTTACCAGTAGTTATCTGTATGTACTTCTGTGTTCCTCCTTATCACCTGCATGGGGACAGGGTCATAATGTCATTGTCAGCATTTATAGTACCTGGTATGCAAAGAACCTTGTGCATAACATTCTTTTGGTAAAATTTATTAGAATCAGTCTTGTCATCTGAAAAATATTTGAAAGGCATGGTAGTAGATGAATCAGTGGAGTAGGAGACTCTGATAGACAAATCACCAGTGTCTTTAAATCACATAAAGAGTGTCATAAATGAGAAAAATCAAGTAGAATTTTCTTGAGTGGTCTCAGAACTAGTACTAGGAAAGAGAAGTTCCTGAATAATATATTTCATTTCAATGTAAGGGAGACATTTCTAAAAGAGTTATTCAATGATGAAATTGGCTTCCTTGTGAAGTAATAAATTGCCTGCTGTGAAAGGGCTCCAACCAGGGCTGGACAGCTGTGTTTGAGATGTTAAAGTCACTCAAGCTTTGAGTGTCAGGGAGGGCCGACTGGATTTTTATTTCCCTTCCACACTTGGCTGTCAATCAAAAACAGCAAAATATATGTGTGTTTTACATTAGCATCCATGCCATACCCCACTACAGCCCTGAGATGTTTTCTGATAGGTTCAAAAATACTGCCGGTCATTAGGATGGTGAGACTTTGATGAGTCAAGGCACCTATCAGGAATTATTCCCTCTTCTTTCACCCTTGGCCCAGGATCCAGGTGAAGTATATTGGCTCAGGGTTGCCTAACTGCCCACTTGTTCCTACTCAGTGGCTAATCTAGTCACACCTGTTTTAAAAGACCCAGCTATCCATAGGGTATTATCCACACTGTTAATGAATTATGGTGGTTATGGTCTGTGCATGATGTAGTTCTTGAGAATATCCTAAAACTAGTTCAGAGCTGCTACTGAACAGCTTAGTAATTGGAGTCCGATACTTGTGGGTTTAAGTCTCAGACCTGTCATTTATTAGCTAAATAGCAGTGGGGTTGTTATTTAACTAGTATGAGCCTTGCTCCATTGTTTGCAAAATAGAAATAAGAACAAATCCTCCTACACAGAGCTGCTTTGTGGAGTAAATAAGATAATGCCTGTGAACAGCTTGGCACAGTATATGGCACAAGGTAAATGCTCAGCAACATAACTAATGCTTTGTAAATGATTATTATTTTCTAATAACAATCTTGGCTGGAGTCTAAAGTTCTCTTTGTTTCAGACATTGATGAATGTGCCTTAAGAACTCATACCTGTTGGAATGATTCTGCCTGCATCAACCTGGCAGGGGGCTTTGACTGCCTCTGTCCCGCTGGGCCCTCCTGCTCTGGTGACTGCCCCCATGAAGGAGGACTGAAGCATAATGGGCAGGTGTGGACCCTGAAAGAAGACAGGTGTTCGGTCTGTTCCTGCAAGGTGAGGCTGATGTAGCACAGCAGCGATTCTGTCATTTCCCTTCCAACCCTACTCTCTCTCCCTCCCACCTCTTTGCCCCAGGTTGTTGATTTATGGGCTCCTATAGTTCCTAAAAAGGCTCCTCCTGTTCTAATCCATGCCACAGCTAATGATGAAGCTGAATGGCAGGCAAACCTGTTTTGAATTGATGGTGCACTTAATGAAAAGTGAGGTGTGGGGTGGAGCATACAGAGCACAGGGGAGCAGGGCAGAGAAGCTGGTGTTGGTCCCCTTGCAGTGAGCCTGCAGTGCTTTCAAGGGTGGCTGGCTGAGAGCTTTAATGAGCCCTCAGCCCACACTTAGACAAACTTGCTGATCGAAACTACCTTTTGCCTCCTGGAACAGTCACCTGCATGAACTTGCTCTTTTCTGTGGTGACCTCATCCAAAAAGCAAGGCTCACAGACTTGCTTCCCATGGCCAGGGACAGGTGGACTTCATTCAGAACAAGTGATAATGATGGTAGGAGACCTTCTGCTAAATGATGTCTTTGGTGTTTTCAGTGCTGGGCTCTTCCTTACATGAAGTTGTTTGAAAGTGGGTTCAATGCTTATGAAAATAAAATGTCACTGGCTGGTTTTGCTTTCTGTTTTGCAAAATGAGCCCCTTAAAATGTTTGATTTCCTTGTGCTTATTTCTTCTTTTGTTGATCTTGCCTATTCCTTTTCCCTTGATGTTGCTCTAGTATAGCTCTTGTATTATATTTTTATGTCTGTTGGGATGGGACTTTTTATTCTTGGCCTTTATGATCATGGGAACCAGAGGAAATGTCTTACTTTGTGGTATCTTAGAAAGCTAGTCTCCTGATAGCTTCAGACCATTCCCTAGAAACAGGGTTGAAATGGACCTTGAAAATTCATTCAGTTCATTCACCAGCCTTCAAGTCGGCCACACCTCCAACAGACCTGGGGGCACCCATTTAGGAGAGCTATATTATCAAATGTTTAGATTATTATCTTCTCATGCCTATTTTTTTCCTTGCTACATAAACCTAGTTCCACACATTCAAATGTAAGCCCACTGCCCTCATTTCTTAAGCATGTCCTGTGGTCTGAGTAATTGATAAATGGCATCACGTTTAACTTTTGTAAGACAACTTTGAAAGATGAAGAAACTGAGTCTCTAAATTTTAGGGCAAGTAATATGGCCTAAATATCACAAGATATAAATATCTAAGCTGAGACTTGAATTCTACCTGCTTGTTCCAAATCTGGCCACATGTCCTGGAACATTCTGATGATATCTGTTGGTATATTTAAAACCAATTAAACAATCAGTTAATCCAATTTGAACTCAAACTCCCAACCCAGTACTGTGTCAATGACTGGGACATTTCCTCAAGAAGTTTTTAAATTCTTAAGACAATATTTAACCATGTGGCACTGATTCAAAGGGCAAATTTATAAAAGAAGGAAAAGTTCACTGTGGGTTAGAATAGTTGAGAAAGGCCTGTGGAAGAGGTTGGCAGTTGGGTCTCCATTCACCCAGCAAAAGAAGAATTAATTCCTTTATTAATTCTTTTCTAGAAAATAATGTTTTTCCAAATTTTTGAGGATGATCTCAGTCTGACCCCAAATCCTTTTTTAGACTTTATAGAGCCCCTGTCCCTAGAATAGGCCAGGAACTTTAATTGTGTCTTGACTAGCATGAAACTAAATTTTTTTTTCCGGTTTCATTTTATTTAAGCCCATGATAAAGTAGGGAATTTACCAATCATTAAAAATTTCCCAAAGCTTCATTAATTAACTCTGCTAATAATCCAAATAACCTAAATTGATTTATTCTGCTTTGACTCCTCAATTATCTCCAGAGTCTTATGAGAATTAGACTAAAATTGCTACAGGAGATAAATGATTCTTGTAATCTTATTTTGTTAACAAAATGTACCTTCACCACCACCCCATCCCTTTATAAATAAAGTAGGAAGATTTCTTTACTTAAATCTTTTTTTATAATTGCATTCATCACTTGTTTATAATATGGCCTCTAAGAGGTTTTTGTAGCAGGAGGAGGACCTGGTTTTAGGAGCCGAATTAAAAACCCTCAATCAGATTCTGTAGGTCATCCTGAAAAACTGAGCTTACTGTGACCCTCCTTGTTTATTTCCATTATTTGCAGTTCAAAGTGTTATATTCCGATTTGATAAGCAATAGCTCCAGTATTTAAACATCCAAATGGACTATTATAATAGCATTATGTTAAAGGCCAAGAAGTAAATCACAGTTGGAATATAAAGTACTGGCTTTTTAATGATATCCTTTATGTCCCAAATTCAAATAAAACCAAAGCACATAATAGCAGAATCACACAAGCCAAGAAAGGGTCAATACTTACTGTTGAAAGAAGCAGAGACAAAGTTCTTTTGAAAGGCAGCTATCTCCTTGGAGAGTCAGTAGTACACCAGGTTAGCGACTAGCATTTCACGCCCACTGAAAAAGAGGTCTTTAACCCTGTCTGCAGCTGAATGGGGTTCATTGAAAAGGCTAGGCCAGCACTAATGGATTTGGGCTGTTGTTGAGATGCCATGTGCTCCCTTGATAATGACAATGATTTTATGTACCTTTAGGCCACTTAGTTGATTAGGTACAGAATGCTTGCTGAACTGCTTGGGACCCATGTTTCTCCAACGCTGACCAGACCCCAGAAACCTGAGTAAAAAATGGTTACCTCTCTGTGCTTGATCTCTAAATCTTAGGTAAAAGCCCAGCTTCCTTTCATAGATTCCCATCTGTGATTCTTCTGTTCATAAATTTGTTCAGGGCCTTGGAAGACACCTTTATTTTCTACCTGGGCTAAGTGTTTGAGACTTAGCTGCCCATTTTCCTGGGTAAGGAGACTTTAGGTGCCACCAAGAAAAAGCCTGGGTTTGCAAATTAGGCTTGTAGGCACTCAGTAGACGTTAGGCATTTTGACAATTACATTTGCTCCTACGCTGTACCTCTCCCTGCTACTAGTAATATTATTAGTTAACTGGAAAATCCAGTGGGAAAAGGAAAGGTAGGAAGGCTAGACTTCATTTCTGTGCTTCCTGCAGTGTTTTTGCTTGTTTTTATTAAAAAGAAAAATACATAGCATTTCTCTTGAAGTTACGTATAATACTAAAGACTTGAGCAATACTAGGTCTTGAGTTTTTCTGGGAATTACAGAGATGGGTAGGGAAATGGATATTCCAAATAACCACTCACCCATGATGTCATAATTAAGTCAGGGCCAAATTACTGTGGCAACAGAGAAAGGGGTTAAAGTGGGAAAAAATTTTGCCACGAGATTGTCTAGAATGCTGGCCATTTGACTTGGCCTCACATAAGTCTTTGCCAAGAAACTGAAGAAGGTAGGGAAACCTAATGAGTTTATGCATTTCCTTCAGGCAAGGAGAGTGTAACCCTATCTGGAGGGAGCTGACAGTAAAATAGCATGGCATTCACTCATAGGATGAAGCGGATGAGTCAGCTTCTGCCTAGGGCCAGGGGCAAGGTTAGCTTTCTGGAATTCTGGAATCCACTAATAAAGATGCTGTGCTTTGCTTTCTGAACCTATCCAGCAGCATTATCAGTACCTTCCTGTCAAAGATGTTCTTGATGGCAGGGATTAGCTGTGCAAGCCCTAAGATCATATTTCCTTTTCTGTGAAAGATGAACTTATTGGCAGGTTTACTTCTGCCCTTAAAACTCTTAAGTGTTCCATCAAGGAACAGAGTCTCCATTTGCATCCCCCTGACTTCATACTCCTACTGGGCAGTTCTAAATCCTGCCATTCTAATGCAGGACCTTCAGGCTTATGCCATGCTAACTTCCCAATGGAGCAAACCTTTGTTTCTCCTTCAGTGGTTCTCAAACTTTCCCTTGCACCAGAATCCCCTGGAGTTCTTCTGAAACTTTGATCAACTTCTGGTTCAGTAGGTCTGGTTTGGGGCACAACAATTTGCATTTCTAACTAGTTTCAGGAAATTTTAATGCTGCTGGTAAGAGGACTACAGTTTGAGATCCATTGCCCCAAGAATACTGATCTGAGCTTGTCTAAAATCTGTTTATCTAACCTTCTAACTTCCTCATGATAAAAGGAAGCAACATATTGGAAAATCATTGTTAGGGAAGTACAGATTGAGGTCTAGTTCCTGTTATTAATTTGCTGCATAGAAAGATCATTTCCCCTCTCTGGACCTCATTTCCTCTTCATTAAAATTAGATTGTTGGATTAAATGACTGCTAAAGATTTTCTATACCAGGTGCTAATGAGAGTGGACTAATCGACTAGTTGTGGGTACAACCTGAAATCAAAATTAGTATTTTGTGAAAGAATTGTATATCACAGCCAATAAATGTGTGTGTGAGAAGGTAGAATATATGGTTGTAGAATATCACTCCTAATTTTATGCTTTATATCAGAAATGAAAAAACTTTTTCTGTGAAGGACCAGGTAGGCATTGCATATTGCAAAGTCTCTATTTTACATACTCAATTCTGCCATTATCCATTTTATGTGAAATAATGGCAGGCAATATGTAAATGAACAAGGGAAGCTATGTTTCCATAAAACTTTATTTACAGAAACAAATAACTGGCTAAATTTGTTCAGTGGTTGTCAGTTTGCCAAACTCCACTTTATTTTCAATTTACACAAATAATCTTACCTAAGTCCTTACCTAAATTATGACAGAAAAAAGTGATTTAGGCCATCTGGAATAAATGTATCAATGTGTTGACTATTAAATAATGTGTAATGTATAGCATAACCTATAATTTTCTATTGCATATTAAGAATAAATTCATTATTTTGGCTGAGAAAAATGTGTGTTCCTGCTTTTTAAAATTCATAAGCAATTTAAATATTACAATGCTTAGTAACTGTTTATAGCTGAACTTTCATTATGAAACTGCATAAAAGCATTTATCTTTTATGTCAGTAGGGTGAGCAAATACACCATAGTCATTTAAGTGGAGATTATTCTGACCACCCCAGCTG